TCCTCCTCCTCCTGCTCCACCGCCTCCTCCTCCTCCTCCTCCTCCTCCTCCTCCTGCTCCTGCTGCTCCTGTTCCTCCTTCTCCTCCTCCTCCTCCTCCTCCTCCTCCTCCTCCTCCTCCTCCTCCGCCTCCTCCTCCTCCTCCTCCTCCTCCTCCTCCTCCTCCTCCTCCTCCTCCTCCTCCTCCTCCTCCTCCTCCTCCTCCCCTTCTCCTCCCCTCCTCCTTCTGCTCTGGCCCCCCAGCAGCGGCTCTGGTCGTCCCTGGTGCGTTCCGCGCGCCAGGGAGGAGGGTCCAGCACAGATCTAAGAAATCCGCGCGGAGCGTCACAAGTTTATATTAATGGCGTTTTTGCTTTTTCCGCTGAGGGAAGCGGGTCTTGCGGTTGTTCGTCTTCCACGGCCCCGGGGGCTGTCAGAAAGCGGCTCCAGATGAAAATGTGGTCCTGGAGGGGACGTCCTGGGGCCCAGGGCTTGTTTCCCTCAGGACCCGTTTCCCCGATGCTAGAGATTCTATCTTTGATTCGGGATCCGCCGTAGAACTTTGGCTGATTCTCCAATTAGGAATTGTGTCGGAGATGCACCCCGCGACAATACGCGAAACAGCAGGATTGGAATTTCCGCTTCAGGAATGTAGGGCGGACATATCCGCACATGCATGGCTGAGACGACGACAGCAAAGTAGGGCGGATCCTTCCCAGCCAGGTTTGAAGTTATTTTGATGACGATTCTTGCCGAAAGTACGCCTGATCCAGAGTCTGGAAATTCCCAAATTCCAAACCAGCACTAAACAAAACACATCAAAAACAACAATTTGTCTGACGGTAGTCCCCCGCATAAGAATATTACAAATTAATGTTGAAGTAATCTGAATCGTCGTCATTGTGACTACGGAGGCTCTCTTCCTGTTTTGCATATGTTGGCCCTGGCCGACGCTTACAAGCTTGATTGAGGTTGCATCAGATTACAAAGAACGCTCGACAAAAGAACGAGGCTCTCGCTCGAGACTCTCAAGATTCAGACTCCCATATGCCACCAAACCTATGTCTTCGCAGGGAATCCAGATGGCCGCCTCGGAATGATAACATGAAACATGGGGCCCATAAGGAGGGGCTTCCACAAGAGATTTCGCAGCGATGCACTTACAGGTTCCCACCCGAAACATCTTTCCCAGTTGCTCAGGACGGAGGCTCCCGTTCGAGACTGCTTCGGGAGTCAGGCTCCCAGTATCCCGATGGCCGCCTCAGATTACCAACATGAGGCGGGGACCCCAAAGGGAGGGGGGTCCCGCTCATGACTTCCTTGCGATCCGCTCACTGACGACGCTCCGGCTCCAGACATCCTTACAATTTGCGCAGGATCGGGGCTCCCGCTCGAGATTTCCTCGGGATTCAGGACCCCAGGTGTCACCAAACCTGTTTTCACATGGTTTTCCGACGGCCGCCTCGGATTCGAACATGGAGGTGGGGAGACCCAATGAATCTGGGTTGCCGCTCGAGCGGTTCACTCGCAGACGAGGGCTCCCGCTCGAGACTTGTGCAAGGTGGGTTGGCGAGTGTGTCAGTGAGCGTGTGCGGTGATGATGATAGTGATGGTGATGATGGTGGCTCTGGTGGTGTTGGTGATGGTGGTGATGATGATGATGATGATGATGATGATGATGATGATGGGGATGATGACGATGACGATGACGATGACGATGAGGATGAGGATGAGAATGAGGATGATGTTGATGTTGATGATGATGAAGTTGATGATGATGATGATGATGATGATGATGATGATGATGATGATGATGATGATGATGATGATGATGGTGGGGTTGGGACGGTGATGAGGAAAGAAGACTGCGTGGGGGTGTCCAGAGAAAACAAGACTCCCAATTTGGATGTGGGGGAAACGTTGGATGTCTGGGATCACAGGCCTCCGAAGTCTTGATATTCTTTTCCGTGCGTGGTCCCCGGATCTCTCGTTCCTGGTGAAGTTGTTTCCCCAAACAGTTTGTTGATCGGGGTGCTGTTGTGCTCGTAACTAGCTCCAGTGGGGGCGGACGCGCAGAGACATCCTCGAGAAAATTGGGTAGACCAGGCCTTTTCGCGTGAGACATTCTCACAATTCTCGTTTCAGAGTTGGCCGGGACTGGGCGTTTCGCTTTTGACATCCCCGCAGTTCTGGGCTTTGGGATGCCGCGCGCGAGGTGGTCTGGCAAGTTTCGCCTGGGACATCCTCACAAATCTGACAACTCTAGGCTCCACGATGCCACGCGAGAGGTGGTCTGGCCCGGTTCCTGAGACATCCTCGCAACTCTGGGCTGGGAGGGGCTGCGCGAGAGGTGGTCCGCCCGTTTCGCTTCAGACGTCATCGCAACTCTGGGTTCCAAGATGCCGCGCGCGAGGTGGTCTGGCAAGTTTCGCTTCAGACATGTTCGCAGTTCTGATATCCGAGATGCCTCCCGCGAAATGGTCCAGCCCGTTTCGCCTGAGCCATCCTCGCAACTCTGGGCTGCGAGATGCTGCGCGCGAGGTTGTCTGGCCCGTTTCGCCTGAGACATCCT